GTTTGGAACTTGGATATTGTGTGTGTTGATTTTCGACCACACTGTCAATCAAGCACTCAACTGGAGAACACGGGCAGAATAGATTAAACTCGAACAACCTGTCACAGAAAGAAGAGATTCCAGCGGTGGTTCGTTCACCCGGGGGCACTCCGACGATCAATTCAGTTATCTCTCAAAGATAGCAAAAGTGCTTAACTCACTGTTCAGAATATAAAAAACGTACCTTAGACCCATGGGGGTGCCTCTCGTTTATAGCCAATACAAACCTAGTCCCTATAGAAGCCTAGCTTCAATGGACTTAGGATTACTGCTAATCTTGGACTCCCAGTAGGATTGAGATAAACTTCCCAAGAGTCTTATCTTTATCCAAACTGAAGTCATCTCTCATTCTAGGACTCTTGTCCCCTATTCGCTTATCTTGGATACCGGTATTCTCGCAGATAACTTTGGCCTAGCCGAAATTACCTCGGCGTCATGACCAGAACACGTGGCACCCCGGCTGGCACCTCGGTGACACTTCGGCCACGTGTTGTTGTTCAAAAATTATGTCCCCACAGATACATATTTGGTTCTTGGAGAATTGCTTATTTTCAATTGCTTGATGATATTTTTCACAAACTTTGAATTTTGTTTATAAATGTGGCTACAACTTTTGTATTGAAGGAGGTGCTCATTAATTCCTTCATAAACAACTGTGAGTGCAGTAGTTATGTGTTTTGTATTTTCCTTTTCATAAGGTTGATGTATTTATTTTAAAAAGTGTCTGAATCTATTGAATATGGATAAGGTAAGAGGAAAGTCGAGCCTAAAGGATACTATCTAGGCCACTCGGTATTGCCTTCTAATTTACTTTCAAAAAGTATATTGATTTTTCATTTCTAAAATAATACTATCTAGGCTATTATATATTGCTTACAATTAGTGAAGAAAGTTTTTAATTTGTGTTGATTATTGTAGGGTTAAAATTTAAGAAATATGTTATTATAGAAAGCTTGAAGATAAAAAAAATAACATGTAATTATCAGAAAAAATATCATTTTCCCCTAAACTATCATTCAAAAATCAATTCAAAGCATGTTCTTTTAATAACATCAATTTTATACCTAAACTATTCGATTTTGTATCAATTTTGTCCCACCGTCAATTGCCATCTATAATTAAACAAAGGTTGTTAATGTGGCACCCAAACTTCATTTGAAATTTCATTTTAGCTACCAAACTATCCCAAAAATATCAATTAGAGCCCAGAATAAAATGAAGTTTGGGCGGTCTAATTGATATTTTAAAGGGTAAAATGAAATTTCAAACAAAATTTTAATGTCATGTCAGCAACTTCCGTATGATTATAAATGGCAGCTAATGGAGGGGATAAAATTGATTCAAAATCAAATAGTTTAAGTGTAAAATTTATATTATCAAAAGAATAAGAGTTGAAATAATTTTTGAATGATGATTTGAGGGACAAAATGATATTTTTTCTAATTATTATTTTAGTAAATGTTACCTTTTGTATCATCCCCCAGGAGGATTGACAATGTGCAAGTCAAGCCCAATGGAAGCTGTTGAATTAATTTTCTTTCTAGCTTTTTCCAAAATTTCAGGAGCTATAATTCATGCAAACAAGCATTTGTGTATATGTTAATTTGCATTTCATACATAAGTAATATTATGGACCAATAAATCAATATTTCATGTTCTTGAAAGTTTAATATGTAAGAATTGAAATGTATGAATGTTAGAATTGTTAATTATTAACTCATCTAATAGGTTAAGCTATTATAGAGAAGGGTAATTTAATTATTAATATTTTCAATATCCCTCCTTATGCATGGCGAGACTCTTTTCTATAAACGGACCTAACATGTGCAATTATTTTAGTTATTAGTGTGAAGTTTAAACAAATAATCTATTATCTATTCTATTACCATGTTGAGTTGTAACTCATCTAGAAGGTTATGCAGTAGGTAAACGATATCCGATTAACTTGATTTTTTGCAATCATACACTACAAGAATTAACACTTTTGGCAACAAAAAAATTGGTCGCTAAGTCAATTTTTGGTCGGCAAAAGTTATCCGCGACCAATTTTTTTGGTCGCTACTTTGGTCGCCAATTGAGGGTCGGCAAAAGTAATTTGCGACCAAAATTTTGGTTGGTCGGGAAAAGTTGGATTTGCCGACTAAATTTTTGGTCGCTAAATATTTAATTACTGCGACTAATCCATTTTGTCGCTAAAACACTTTGGTCGCGAAAAATGATATTTTGCCGACCAAATATCTAAGTTGCCAATTGTCACATTTCGCGACCAAAAAGTTTGGTTGCCAATTATCTCATTTCGCGACCAAAAAGTTTAGTCGCCAATTGTCAAGGAATCGCCGACTAACAATTTAGCCGCCAATAGGTAAGGAATTGCCGACCAATGATTTTAGTCGCAAAAGTGTAGAATTTGCCGACCAATTTTTTAGTCGCCAAATCTCTCTATTTTTTTTTTTTTTTGAGAACATTCAATTTTTGTTTTTAAACATTCAATCCAATATCAAACAAAATTCATTCAACCCAACCACAATTAAGGAACAATAACATTTACAAAATTCATATTTGCTCACAGTTTCGGTACCACAATTAAGTAACAAAATTCATGACACACAGCCAAAGAATTTAACTAAGAAGAAAACTTGAGAATTTATATTTGTATACAAAAGCAATAGTACGTACAATCTGTGATTTGGCAAAAACAATCACTAAAAATTCAATCTCAAACTACACTTTGCTCTCACCAAAAATTATAAGAACAAAGAAATCAAAGAAAATAACAAGGTATAAGGCTATTGGAACAGTTCTTCAGCTCTTCCTGTAGTATGCTCATACCGCAATGACATCCTATTGCAATTTCATCCAATCTGGACGGGCATACTTAGGATTCAAGCCCAACAACTTGCAGTCTTCATCACTTATATGCTTCAGGACATTTAAAACCTGTAAAAATGTCATATAATGCTCGCTTTGTAAGTCTTGATCAGCTAGAAATTGACAAGAACAAAACATAGAAAATACATAGCTAGAAACATTTCTTCTTTGAAAATTTAATGTGCAATTCAAAATTATATAAAAGTTGAAAATCAATCAAGGGTATGCCCATTTGCATAGAAAATAATGAGTTGTGGTACTGTGTGATCTATTTATTTATGAAATTTCAAATCAAAATGCAAGTTACTATGTGATGAGACTAGCATAATTAGGCTTCCAATTCATTGCTAATCACATGTTGTTTATTATGTAATGTTTTTGTTAACATCATTGAAAATCCACTGGTCTTACATTGGCCTTTTGATGCAATTCAAAAACAGATTTTCACAATACTAAAGTTGAGTTCAAAATTTGGTGTTAGTCTGTACAATTCACAATTTCTATGTTTCTTGGAAGGCAGAGTTTCCTGTAATTGGAACATTAATCAGAATAGCTGATACTATCTATACATAAATACAGCAACTTGTGAAGACATTCCAATTCTCCTCTATTACTTTTTCAACTAAATGGCAAAGCAGGCATGGCAAAGTCTACGAAAAAACTCTAAAAAAGGGGGTGAAACTGTAGTTCACATGCATATTCACTTGTGCATAATTCAACAACTACAATTAATAATCACCAACTTAATAGTAACTTGCATAGATAGAGTCTGAACAATTTTCGTATACAGGGGCACTCTATGGGAATCATACCTACAGTTTAAATCACCCATATAGAGAACAAAGCTATTGCTAATCCTATTTAGTTTTGCTTCCAAGTGCCAATTTTGACACTGTTTGGACAAAGCCATCTGAAAAACATTTATTTCAAAGCAGCAACAACTCCTTTTAGAAAACATTTACCTAACATATCTTATTAGCTTGTGTGCTTTTGCTTATTTTATTGCCTTTGTAGTTATGCTCTTGCTAGCATCTAGGATCTTTTTAAGTCTGTTTTTTGGATTTCTAATTTTCTGAGCTTGCTTAAATTTGTGTTCCTCCTACGAAAGTAACAATTGAATAAGAAATGGAAGCTCCACCAGTATATACTTCGAATAGTGGGAAAGAAAATAAGAGAAATACATGGACTTTAATATGGTGATTAATACAGTCACCAAAGAGACCTTCTCAACCAAATAAGGTTGCTTTGGAAAATAAACAGGTTTTTGAAAAGCAAAGTACAAGCAGTTGTAATAGATTTAGAATAAATGCAGAGGAGGATTAAGGGTGGTTGATACAAGCATACATGAAAATATAGACCATCAAACATGTATATAGATAATTGTGGCAAGATATATGCATTTAGCACATGTCTAATTCCGCTATATAGCTTTTCAAATTCTAGATTTCAAGAAACAAACATGATGGTTTAAACACTGGTAAGATAGGCAATTTATGCCCTCTGAAGATAATACTAAAAATGATAATTATAATGAACAACTCACTCCACTCCTCATCACGGCGAAATCACACTAAAGTAGTAAAGTACTAGTATTTCAGCCTCTAGGCACTGTTATCTATTCTATGCTAATTAAAATTTCTACCAATTCTGTTCATGCAAAGTAATGATCCTAAACAAGACAACCCGAAGTCAGAACCAAAAGCGATCAATTCCTTGACCAGTGTTGTCACTTGTCAGAATGCAAATTCAGCATACTGCAGTCATCATCAATTCCACAAGAGCTCAGTATTGAATAAAAAATCAAATTCCCAATCCACCAATCAGAGATTACCATGTGGGTTTTGGATTTCAATTTGAAGATACCACCTTAACTCATAAGCTTAAGAAAAACCCAAAAGAACTCCATACAAGTTAGTGATATAAGTGAAGAAATTGAAGCAAAAAAACTACCTCATCGGCTAGAATTTTGGAGCAATTGAAGCAAACGCATTGCATAATACTGAGTACAGTTTTCAAAAACCCAATATGGAACATGGGTTTGGCGAGCTCAAGGTGCCCAAAATGGCCAAGACACTCAGCCATGTTAGCCATATAGGTCTCACACTTCATTTTTCGGTCAATAGTACCCAACCGAGGGTCGCTGAGGCCACCCAGCTTCGGCTTCCCTCGCTCCATCGTCTCACTGTGCTCGATCTGCACCACTGACATTTGCCTCTGCCAGAAATAAACACAACATCAAGAAATTAAAACCCCTTTGAAACCCTAACAGCCAAAGAGATGAAGATGAATGGGTCTTTCTTTCGTTTTTTGGCAAATTCTCAATAAAAATACATGGAAAACATAAATTGATTGAAGATTGAAGAAAAAGATTACGATCTCATCAGGGCCAAGGATGCCAAACTGGACCATCCGGACATTAATTGAAGATTGAAGAAAAATATTACTTTTTTTTTTGCAAAATGACCTTATCATTCTGTGCATCAACACAATGCACTCCCAAATTTTCTCAATAAGAACAAAATAACAGTGATTAAAATAATGAAACAGATCACCAAACATTGGTTGGCTTCTAAAACCTTAGCTTAAAAATCTCAAACCATAGAATACAATATATATATATAATGACACTTGCAAAGCAGTCTTCACTGGCCAGCCAATTAGGCAAGCCATTAGAGTTCTTCAAATTTGATTCTGAATCTCTTTGTATTGGCTCCAAGTTCAATGAATGACGAAAGATAATAATCATGTCCAACCATCACCAAAAGTCATACATTGCCCAAGCGCTGTTCATACACGAAGCTGAAAAGAATCATATAATTTCAGCTAATGAGTTGAAGAAGTAAAAAACCGTTTGAAATAAGATAAGTAAAAATCACCACCTTTACATCGCGGCAAGGATCATTGACCATATCCTTTAATTGAGAAGTTATGCAGGCATTCTGTAATTTTGCAACCCGACTGTGTGCACCGGGACTACTTGGAAAGGTGAGATTTACGACAGTCCAGACACAAGCTGTGCGTAACCTGCTGTCATTACTCTGCAAAAGCTTAATCATAATTGATTGGATGTTGTCACCTATTTGTGGGAAAAGTTGGTCCATGACTGCTTCCTTGTGGAATTCATTCCCAGATGCCACATTACTGAGCATGTACATACCCTATATCAGAAAGGTTTCAAGTTCTATCAAAAGCAAAACAATCGCATAATCCCTATTCCAGGCATGTTGTAGATTTGTCATATAATGGCAAACAAGACGATTTCTCCAATTTCTGCTGACTACCATTTCCGGATGAGTTGGAAATTTGAACCTGTTTCATGCAAAATGAAACTGAATTAAACATCAATTGAAGTCATAAATCAAAAACTCTCTCTTTCTCTTTCTAAAAACCTCCTTCCCACGCCTCAGTTTGGGCCGGCCGGCCGCCGCCTTCGGCTATGGAGGTCGGCTGGCCCAGTTCTGTTTTTGTGTTTGCTTGTTAGTCTTCCTTTTAATAAACTTGATTCCCCCATTATTTTCCCACTGGGTTGCTGTAGATTTTGCTTGGTTTGTTGGGGTGTTTTGGTGAACGTTATGGATGTTCACTGGGTCGGAAAAGAGGATGAACCAGATCTGGTTAGGATGTTCATTCGGGCGCTTCTTTGCGAGTGGAAGTTTGAGGGGTGTTCTCCGTTCAGATCTTTGGAGGTGTTTTTTTAATAAACTTGAATCCCCATAGTTTTTCCATTTCTTTTTCAGTTCTGTTGGGTGTTTGGGGTGGGTTTCAGTCTTGGGGGATTTCGATCATGGAAGGCGCCTTGAATATGGGAGGGTTGGATTTGTTTTGGAACTTCATTCGTGCGCTCCTACGCAAGTGGGAGTTTGAGGGGTGGATTTCAGTCAGATCTGTGGAGGCCGGCGTTGGGCCGATTAAAGAGTTGTTGGTCTTGGGGGAGTCCGGAGTGGGTGAAGTCCGGTGTGGGAGTTACGGCCATAGTGCGCAAGTAGCAGAACAGCAGATCGTGGGGGTTCTTGTTGGGTGTAAGTGTTTGTCTCGATGGGTGTCTCGATATTGGAAGTACTGCAAAGGGAGCAGTGCTACGGCGTGGGAGTTCCACCAGAGAATTCGAGTAGCAGCACAGCAGAACGGAAATGTCAGGCGTGGGAGAAGGCTGGTGGAAGGAGTTTCTTTAGGCGTGGGAGAAGGCAGGTCTGCCGGGTTTGTGCAGCGGTGGAGGCAAGGAGTTTTTCCGGCCATGTTGGCTATGGAGTTTTCCGGCCATGGAACGTCCAGTGTGGTAGATTACTAGTAGGAGTGTTAATGTGAAAGGAGAAGTCGGCAGGTGAGCGTTGTGCAAGGTTCTGGGCTGGCAAAGTTGTGCAGGGTTCTCCATGGCTGGCAGGTTCGGCGTGGGAGTGTAGCAGGCGTGGGTGTGTAGCAGCATATAGGTGAATAGACTAGTGTTGTCAGGCGTGGGAGTGTAGCAGGTGGCGTTGGGTGTTGTAGCAGCATAAGTGAATAGACTTGGTTTTAAAAAATAGCAAGTTGGCGTAGGGAGTGTAGCAGATTTGGATTTGGTGTTGGGTGTTGGCTGTGGCTTTGGGTTTTGTGGGCTAATTTTGTGGGGATTCATGTATTTTATTTTTTAGTTAAGTCCTTCTTAACTTTTTTTTGTTTAAAAAAAAAAAAAGTGAGGCCAAGGGGTTGGTTGTATGGATGCGAGTAGCAGTAGTAGGGGTAATTTGTACTTTCCGAATCTCTCTCGATGCATGTCATCTTCCTGTACCTTAATTTCATGCTGTTAATGAAATTTTTCTTTGCTGATCAAAAAAAAATTGAAGTCATAAATCAGAATAAACATTTAAAGAGTTCTTCGCTTTAAATTAGTGCAACTTTGCAGCTACCTTTTGATCTACTCTAATACAAGTTCATCATTCAAGAAAGGTGCATTTAATTCTTATTAAAAGTCTATGTTGCAAACGTTATAGATGCATATAAATGTCAACCAAAATTAAGTACAACACAAACACCATTATTATTGGCTGGGAAAATTGAACGAAGCAACTATAAATGGAAAAAGAGAAGTAAACCTTTTCTATGCTGCAGGCATTATAGATGCATATAAATGTCAACCAACATTAAGTACAACACCAGCACCATTATTATTGGTTGAGAAATTGAATGAATCAACTATAAATGGAAAAAGAGAAGTAAACCTTTAGTTCACTGAATGTGCTTGCAGCAGTAAAACACACAGAACCAAACTCAACTGAAACTACTTAAATAACTAGACAACTTACCGCAAATGCCTTCGCTGAAACACCTTCTGTCAAAATCAAGGTACATTTATCAGAGCTCTTCCACTTGGCATATTTACGACATGTAGTACAAAGTTTCTTCACTTCTTCTACGGTAGGATCTAATTGGGTTTTGTAGTGGGCCTGTTCAAATTTCAACAAATTAGGATGTGTTTGAGTGAGGATTGGATCCGGAGTTTAAAAAAATGCATGAGAATAAAGCCTCTCATGAAAGGCCCCAATTTCAAAATTTAAAAGAATACAGGTTGCAGGGTCTGTTGAACTACACTAACAGACAAAGAAGCCAGATATGGGAATTAGACATGGACACGGCACAACACGGACATGCCCACATGACAATTTATTCCAAAAAAAATGAACACGATATGACAAGGGCACAAAAACAAATTAAAATATTTTTACATATTCATGAAAATAATAACAATTTCTTCATTTTCCATATCTATCTACTGAAAATGAAGTGTTACCAAAAAATCCTAATATCTATTTTACAAAGCCCAGTTCATAAGAAAATTCATATAAAAGGTGGCAAAGAACATATACTAGCTGTTTTCTCTTTTCCTTTTCATGTTTCTTTTCCTTCTGATACTCTTTCATTTTCTTGATAAAAATGTTATACACAGGCTTGACTCACTGAATTTTCATATAGACAGACAAAGGCAATGATTCTACATGTATAAGTAATGATGATAATGATGATGACAAATATAATGATAAGAACTTAAAAGACAAGTGGGCTGTCCGTTAAAGAACTTACAACAGTTCAATAGCACAGTCAGCAGTGTTTTCACAGTTACTGGTAAATGGAGTTGGCCTACTAATGTGTGTGTGCACACGCATGTAGACAGTCCTCCTTGAATTGGATGAGAACACAAAAATATAATTATTAAAACCCTAATTCTCAATCAATTACTCTGTCAAATAATTAAAAGATGAGCTTTTCTGACTTTTTCTTTTTGGAATAGGAGTGAATAAAGTAGTTTTTGGTAACTCTATCCCGCTAAGTAATTTAATCAATTGGAATAGGAGCATTAGAGTTGAAAAGACATTCTTCTATAGATCACAAGGTATTATGAAAATGTATAATACAATCAAGTATATCACAATGTCGAATTTAGATGACTAATTCAAAGCCAAACTAAAATGTAAACATGAGCTTTATTTAAAGTAGCATCCAAATAGGGCAAAGTGAGGCTCCTGTTCAGAAACACTAAGGACAACACGCACACCCCTATACAATCTCAGCCTTCTTCACTACCAATAATATTTGCTGCAACAAAAAAACAAATTAATTATGATAATTATGAAGGTGAGTTCTATTGGTACTTCATCTAGCATCAAGCATGCACACACAAACTGAAGTGCACACAAGCTAAAAGGTGAGCATTAACAAAGCTTCCATCGAGATAAAATTAATTGGTTCTCAGATCGCTCTTCAAAAGAGTCCGTGCTTTCTGAATATAAGAGAAATATGTGAAACCATTTTTAAATAAACAATAAACTGTGAAATCATTGTTCACTGGTACTGAAGGTCTGACATGTTTGTTTGATGGTTCTCAATAGTAAACTCAACTAAACAAGCCTTTATATTTCAGTTCTATGTCAAAACAGTGTTACCAAATTCGTACTCTCACCTTAGCCAAATTCATATAGCAATTATATAGCATATATATATATATATAGAGAGAGAGAGAGAGAGAGAGAGAGAGAGAGAGAGCGTGCTTATCTGATGCAAGAGGTCTGAGATTGAGAGGATTAGCAATGGTAGAGTGTAGGCGGCTCGACACACTACCACCGAACATCCTTCCTCTCTCCGCCAAACCCATTGCTGCTCCGCCGCTGCTCCTGTTTCGTTTCGTGTTAGCGCCTTCTTCATGTTTGCTCTATGCTTTAAAGCCAGTTCGCTGCCGACCTTACAGTGGGGAAACAGAGCGACACGACCATGGTGTTAGACATTTTTGGTGGTAGTGATTTTGAATGGTGGCCTAGGGTTTGTGTTTATGTGAATGTCAAAGAGAAAGAGAAATAGACAGAGAGCAAAGAGAGAAACAGAGAAGGGCAACAGTGAGAGAGAGGGAGAGGGAGAGCAAGCGAATATTTTTATTTGTTTATGTCTTCTACGTTTCAAATTTCCCTCCCAAATTTTTGGCGACCAAAAGACCATATTAGTCGCAGAAAAGGTACCTTCGCCGACAAATTTTTTTGGTCGCCAAATCTCAATCAACGACGACTGAAATATTAGTCGCTAAAAGTACTAATTTGGCGACTAATTTTTTTTGGTTGCTGAAAAAAAGTTTTTGGCGACCAAATTTTTGGTCGCCAAAAAATATGTGACCTTCTGCGACCAAATTTGTAGTTGGTCGGCAAAAGCATACCACTTTTTGCGACCAACTCATTTTTTGGTTGCCAAAATATAACCTTCTGCGACCAATAATATTTGGTCACCAAAATTAATGATCATTCACGACTAATTAACATTTGGTTGCCAAATGTCATTTTTTTGCGACCAAAATTGTTTTGGTCGGTAAAAGTGGTCGCAAAATGTGTAAATTCTTGTTGTGATATTCTACTTAACGGTTCGGATTATCAAAATGGGCCTATTTTATCACACAGCAGGCGCTGCTGCACAGCCCACACAACAGCATCCCCACTTTCTATGCTACTAGAGGAAAAAACGTCTTTATTATTTATATCTTTAACAAGGATCTTATTGTACATGCTTATAGTGGCAGTATTAATATTTTTGCCGCGGTGGCCAATATTAATGTAAAGGAATTGCATGCTGGCCTACTTGGATTTGTTTTAGTTTTACAGATTTAGTCTTTACCCTTTTTTCCCCCTCTTAATGGGCATAGTTTTCTAATAATTCAACTAGTATTGAAGGAGATAACATAACAACTTCAATATATCAACAACAAGAAAATAGGGATTTTGCCTGGAATTGTTTCCTTGAGGTAGCAAGGTGAAGAACTGTATTGCCAATTTGCCACTATCTTGCAGTCAGGCCCAGCCCCAGGCAAGGGCAAGAGAGGCCTTGCCTTGTGCCCACAAAATTCGAATCAAAATAAGGGTTCTCAAATTGGAAATTACAATAGGGCCCCATCTAATATTGACCCAATATAAAGGGTCCAAAAGAGTTCATTGTAGGTTATTTGTTGGAATTTTTTTTAGGCCCTATTTGTTTTGAAGTAAAACATTGTACATCGTAAAATATTTTTTATACAAAATAATTTTGAACAAAAGCAAATGTTTTCTTTAATTTTTGTGTTTGATTTACAAAAAAATTTCTACCAGAAAAAAACTTAATGATGGACTAATTATAGATAAAACTTAAAAAAGAAAAGAATATAACAAGACAATGATTGAAATTGATGAAGCACATGGAGATAGAGCAAAAAAAAAATGACTTATGGATTTTTTATACATAATTTTTTTCCCCGTTACTAAATATATTTTACCAAATATTTTACAAGAGCTTTACTGTAAACTAGACTTTGCTAAATTATAAAGTAACTTAACCAAAATTTTGTCATTTTAAATTATTGTAATGATTTTTTCCTATTTTAATCTATATAAATCATTTTAGTTATATCTATAATGGCCTGGTGGATGTTACCATGGCGGTGGCGTCTTCAAGAAAGCTTGGATTGTTTATCTGCAGTGTGACAGTTGCTAGCAAAACTAACTGTCTTGCTCATGAATGCCTTACATTTTGCTGAAAATCCTTTCCTTTTTTTTTCTTCAGTAACAAGAATCTCATGTCTTTAAATCAAGAGAGGGGAGTGTATAATATAATAATCAGGAGAATTAGCCATCTTTCCTATTAACGGTATGGGAAATGATATGGTGTGCATCCCTTAATATGCATCTTATCACAAAATGTATAATTTTATCATAAAAATTATAAAATACATAATCTTGTTACAAATTGATATAACAAAAAATGTTGTAAAGTCATAAATTTTTGCAATATCAACCACAAAATTTTAGAAATTTTGTTACGCCAATTTGTGGCAAGATTACGCATTTTATGGTTGATGTTACGAAATTTCATAGTAAAATTACACATTATTGTGGTTGATCTAACATATTACAAAAATAACATATAGATTACAAAAGATTTGTCAGATCTCATTCCATCTTGCTACTATTTCGCAGTCTTTTGAGTTAATAACCAGATGTGTGTATGATGACTACTTTCACATTGTTCTGCACACACCATTTAATTACTTCTAAGCTTCCGCCACTAGGACTGACGATGCGATAAAAGAGAATTTCTTTCATACCAACTAATTTCCATTCATATCCACTCCAACCCACACTGCTCCCGCCTGCGTCGTGTGTCCATTCCAAGCCCCATCCATAATAAACCTGTCAAACCAAGAATGAAGGCGCCAACTTCCAAAGTTAGATAATACAAAAGAAATTAATATCCACTGGCCCCTCATCCATATTGTTACAGTTGGAGGACAAGTCCTTAACGGATAAAGTCATGTTATGATCATACACCTAATTTAACATTATGTTTGTTTGGGGATTTGAGAAAGTATTTGAAAAAGGAAATAGAAAATGTGTGTGAATTTAGATAAAATGTATTTTTTATTTCTCTTTTCAGATCTCTTTTTAAATTTTCCAACCAAATACAAAAGAGAATTAATAAAACTCAAGACATCAACTGGGTCATCAACCACCACCTCAAAAGTGCCTTTATTGCTATGGAGCCAAATACCCCCACAACACTTAACCGATTCCCTAATTGCGTCATCATCTGGTGCCTACTGGAACCATTGACGCAACCAATCATGAGCCAAACATTCCTCTCCTCCCTCAAAATTAGGTCCTAAACTAGACCCCCACCAAATATGCTTGGAGAATACACACTTAAAGCAAATTAAGATGCTCTATAATGATTCATCAGCCACACCGCACCTAGAGCACACAGAGCCTAATAGAGTACCCGGTCCAATAAGAAGGTTTTTAACAGGCAAAATTCTATGCAGAAGCTTCCAAATAAATAAAGCCTATTTAGGACGTAAATTTTAATTCCACAATTTCTTCCAACACTCATTACTATCCCAATTACCCGTATTATGCCAAGTCTGCTGCCCCTTCAAAGCAAGAAGGAAACCTGATTTAACCGAATACTGGCTGTCCTTAGTCAACCGCCACATAACTGATCTGGTTTACTAACATGGGGAAGACGAAGATGAATATTCAAAATATGAGAGATCATATATTCCGGAAATAGGGCTCGAATCAATGGTTCTCTCCACTACCTTGAATCCTGATTAATAAGATGACAAACTTTAAAAGAACTAAACATGTTACCCATGCCCCTTCCCATCACTTCATTTTCTATGGTAGGAATCAATTGTTCCTCAAAGGGATCAATATTATCACCACTCCCTACAATCCACCCCAGCCCTTTTATAATTCCATGCCCACGAAC